ATTCAACACTCTATAGAGATTCTAACTAATATAATAAGAAAACTAAATATGTGGCTTAAATATTAAAAATGAAGAAATAAAGGAATCTTTATTTGAAGGTTACATGGTTGCATACCTAAGACACCTGACATTGTACTAACATGGTTTCAGTTAATAAGAACTTTGATAAGATAGTTACATAACACAAATATATAAAGGCCGATTGCTTTTCTCTATATTAGAAACTAATTAGAAATGGAAATGGCAGAAACTTGATTAAACTATACTTGGTTATAAATATAATAAGAAAGGTATAGGACCTACAGAAATTATAAGCTTTATCAAAAGTTTAATAAAAAACTTAATAAAGGAGATTTATTGGAAACCTTCAAATTGAAAAAAATTAAATCCATCCCACATTATAAATCTCAATTTTAAATCTCAACTGTATCATTCTGGAACTTTATAAAATAGTTTTTAAAAATTCTTATGGAAGAATACATATATTTTCAAAAAGAAAAATAGTGAGAAGAACCTTTCAAAATTAGATATTAAAGCTAAACATAAAATAGTATGGCATTGACACAAGAATGGGCAAACTGGTCAGTGGAAAAGAAAAGGATATTTGAAAATATATCTGTAATAATATATATAAACTTTTGGAAATTTAAAAATACATATACATGTGTACATACATATAAATTTATACATATAAATGTTTGGAGTCTCTATTCTGTTCCACTATTCTGCCTATCCTTGTGTTCATTCACATGTATATACACATAATGTGACGGTGGCAGTCAGTCCATTCTCAATGGGAAGAGAGAGGATGGTTTATTTAGTAAATGAAACTGGCAGACTGATGGTTCATGTCTAGAAGAAAATAAAATTAGATCCTCATTTCCAATATATCAAACATATCTATCAGAAATTAATTTTAGCCATGTTAAGACCTAACTTTAGTAAAATAACACTTTATTTTTTAAAGTTTTTTTTTTTTTTTTTTTCCAATTTTTTTTTTTTTCTTATGTTAATCCCCATACATTACATCATTAGTTCTAGATGAAGTGTTCCATGATTCATTGTTCGTGCACAACACCCAGTGCTCCATGCAGAACGTGCCCTCCTCAATACCCACCACCAGGCCAACCCATCCTCCCACCCCCCTCCCCTCTAGAACCCTCAGTTTGTTTTTCAGAGTCCATCTTCTCTCATGGTTCGTCCACCCCTCCGATTTCCCCCGCTTCATTCCTCCCCTCCCGCTACCTTCTTCTTCTTCTTTTTTTTTCTTAACATATCTTTGCAAGTCTTTTTTTTAACCTTTTTTATTATGTTATGTTAATTACCATACATTACATCATTAGTTTTTTTTTTTTAAGGTTTTTTTTTTTTTTTTTAAGATTTTATTTATTTGAGAGAGAGAGAGAGAGCACATGAGAGGGGGGAGGGTCAGAGGGAGAAGCAGACTCCCTGCTGAGCAGGGAGCCCAATGTGGGACTCGATCCTGGGACTCCAGGATCATGACCTGAGCTGAAGGCAGTCGCTCAACCAACTGAGCCACCCAGGCGCCCCAACATCATTAGTTTTTGATGTAGTGTTCCATGATTCATTATTTGCGTATAACACCCAGTGCTCCATGCAGAAAAAATAACACTTTAAATATTAGAAAAAGAGTAGAGATTACTTGCATAATCTGAAAGGGAGGCTGAAGAGAAGCAGGACTTTTAAAATAAAATAGAAACCCAAAAACCACTAGTAAAAAGAAAGACAAGCTTAAATATCTGTCAAATTTTCCACACCCACAGCCACTACTCCAGAGGTTCTAAATGTTTTATAAATACTACTACTGTATATTAACATTTTGAGCAATGTTAGTACTGTCTTAACAATATTTTATGTAATACTTTTGGCATCCTCCCCATGGTCCTGCTCAGGTTTTCCTACAGTATGTGCCTAAAATGGGTTCAATAAATATCTCTTGAGTGATATAGAAACAGAAGGACCCTGATCATCTTGCTGCTCAAGTTGAGCCCTAAGTGTTTCTCTCCAACCTGTTGATGATGGGGTGGGAGCTGTTTTCAAGGTTTGTTAGGGAGACCACCTAATGTAGAGAGAATCATCTGTGGCCATGTTGAAGATCTCCAAGACAAGACACCATCTTTCCACTCAAGATTATGCAAGTGTCCTCTTATCCTGATAAAGTCTCGAAGGCACTGAGTAAATGTCATCTATTAGGGAATGTGGTAACACTTCGAGACATTATTCAGAAGAAGCAACTGGGCAATAATCATTTACATTTTCTTTTAGGTCTCTGATGTAAGTTGAAGTATAGTCCTTTCATATATGCTACTTAAATGATATTTCCCAAATAATATTTTTTAAGACACTAAGAAAGTCAGTTATGAACCAACTACTGATAAAAGACTGATGATTAAATTCTAAGTATTCATTTATAAATTCATTTATAATTTAATTTGTAAACATTTATAAATTCCTTTCATTTACAGATCTATACATAGTAAATATTTTCAGATCTTTGTCATTTTTGTTTAGTCTTATGCATTTATACAGATACCTCCCAAACATTTGGTCTTACTTTTTAGAGGGAGGCATTAACTCCCATGTTACTAAAGAATCCGGAATGTTAAATTCAGAAAGCTGGCAAAAAGAGTTTTTGCAATGCTACAGAAAAAAATATCTTCCTGGACTTGCATCTCATGTGTGTTTGTTCACAGTTTCTCAATAACTTTTGGTCTACGATAACTATCTTTCCTGGCATACATCAGACCACCTGTGATTTTAATTAGTTATCATATTTTACTGAGTGCCTACTATGTGATTGGGATAATTGGTTGTTTTCGTTCTAGGTACTGGCAATAAATAAGTCGGGAAACCTCAGACTACTGGAAGCTTATGCTTTATTTCCGATTGACTTGGCAAGAAAAAAAAATATTTCACTACTGCTTGGCCAGGATGACTAGATGGTCTACTGGCTAAGTCAATTTGGATACAAAATTTATTAGAAATGACACCATAAGGGACTAGGTCTTGGGGGATCAACTCTGGAAATACTCTGATCTGAGAAGAACCTTCCAGTATCTAACTGAAAATCAGTAGCCTTGGGAACATAGATTTTGAGAGAGGGGTCTTTGCCATTTTTTCCATCTAACCCCTAAAACACATCGTGGGCACAAATGGGCGGCCAGGAGGCCTTATCACTCCAATGAATGAAGGCCCTATGGATCCACTGGCTTCTCTGTGACCCACAGGAACTCTGCTTTCATTAGAATGGAAAATGGTGTTTCTAACATGCAGTGTATCAACCTGTTCTGTTCATCTCAGTACAGGCTAAGTGAGTACAGCTCAGTGAGTCCAAATTCCATCTTGATTTCTTCAGTTTGTTACTAACCAGAAGATTGAGCATTTTCTGAATTGCTCGTCACAGGGAATACCTGCTCCTCCAAAAAGTTAACAAATGTACCCACTGACAGTGCTAAGATGGCAGATAATCACCGAAGGTCTATAACTAACTCAATTCATCTGACCCATCCAAAAAACAAGTGATTTTCTTTTCCCCTGGGGCATGGCACTTCTTCGCATCTTCAAAAGAAAATTATGGGTATTTCTTTTTCTTTTCTTCCCTTTTTTATTTTTTAAAGTGCAGATTCGTTAAACCCAAATTATCAGAGTCTTCTTAGAAAGGACATATCTATATCTACATGGATAAGTAAGTATATGCAAGTATCACTGACAATTGAGCATTTTCTTAAGTAAGTTTTTGTATATATTTAAATAACATGACTTAATTGGGAAATTATCTCTGCCACTTTTGAAATTGTATTACTTACATTAGAGATCACAAGGGATTAACTAGTTTAGTAACCAGTTTATCACATTAAATGTATTTTTAATGTATGCTAATTTCAAAAGGCTCATAAGAGAGTCAGCCTGCTTTAGCTGTCTGCAGTATTGGGAAGAATCTGGATTGGGAACGACTTGTACATATCTCCGGCAAGGCACTAGATTATTGGCTGTGTGTTTCTACATTTAGAAAATAGCAGTTAATATTTAGCTTCTGCACAAAAAATGTTATTTAGACTAATAAGGGAGTTGAGCATTGCAATGTTAAGCTAACGTTATTATTCACCTTCAGTCTTAAAAAAAACTCAAGACAAAACTTCCTAGAACAACATGATGGACTCTGTGTGAAGATTTAAACATTTTCTTTTAGCTATATCTGGAATAGCAGATATGTTCTTAATTAAAATCTCAGGATACTAAGCTTATGAATAATTAAAGTTACCTAAAACCGGTTTTATTACTGAGAGCTGGTGTTGGGAGGGGCCTAAAGATAAATCCTTTTTTCTTTCTTTCTTTTTCTTTTCCACATACAGGAAACCACTGGGGCCCAAGGAAGTTAAAAATAACTTTCCTAAAGAGACAAGTTGACCCTGAGCAACTAAGCCATAACCAGAAGGTGGATTTTCCAGGGCCCCTCCTTTGTCCTATCGTGTATCTCTGTATTTAGAGAAGTGGTAAAATAATCAGGGAGACACCAAGCCCTGGCCTTCAAATATTAATCAATCTACTAAAAATGAAGAGTTACCATTCCACGACACCTTTGAGCAATAGGAACTATGATCACTGCAAAAGAATTAGTAGCACTTTCCAAGATCCCCTTTCAAGTGCAGAGAATCCGGGAGAAGCACAGTGTTGTGAGGTCGCCGGGACCTGGAACCGACCAAGGGAGGAATTTCTACAGTTTCTATTCCAGGGAACCTCGAGAGGCGCGCCTGGGCAGGGGCGCGGCGGGCGGCAGGGCTCGGGGAACGCGGGGAGCTGCCCCAGCGACCCCCGCCCGCCTCCCGGGCCCTGGCGCCGCTCGGGTCGGTTTCCTGCCGGGCCGCCAGTGCGCGCCGCGCTCCCAACCCGGGAGCGGGACGCCAACCCGGGAGCGGGACGCCTCCCCGGGAACGGGGCGTGCGCTCGAGGGTCGCGGGTGCCGGGAAGGGGCGGCGTACCTCCGAATCGGGTGTGGTTCCCGCCGGGGTCGTCGCCGCGGGTGTCGTTCCCCCGGGAGTGGTCCCCACGGACATCCTCAGGATCTCGCCCCGGGGCCGCGGCCCTTCGTCGCCTAGGCAACAAAGGCGGGGCCGAGGGCGCGAGTCTGGGGAACGGATCCCTCCGCGAAGAGGCTTCCGGGTCGGAACTTGGGCCTCTCCGGGAGAGGGCAGGGGCAGGGGCGGGAGCGGGGCCGGGGCTGGGGCCGCGGCGGGGTCGGAGCCGGGGCAGCCGCAGGGCTGCTCTGCCGAGATCTCTCACAGCAGGGCTTTGAATCCCCGGGTAGAGAAAGACTCCTTCCTTTCAGTAAGAGTGAAAGCAAGAAGGAAAAAAAAGGCAATTTAAATAACAGCAATTCAAATGAATTAGTATGTGGGCAAGTGTCTAATGCTAACATCGCAAGTCCTCAATAAATACTAAAATGAGATCTATTATTGGAACTTGATCATTGATTGATTTTTGATATTAAGGAGTTATTGTAATTTTAAGGCGATATGTTATTGTCCTGTTTAGAAGAAAAAAGAAGTGTCCTCTTAGAGATAAATACTGAAAGATTTAGTGATGATGAAGTGATACAATGTTTGCATTTACTCCAAAATAGTGAGGGGAGGGGTTTGGATTATTGAGTGGAGTTATGGTAGGTGAATCAAGATTGGGTACATGGAGGGGGCGGGGTCATTACATTACTCTCTATTTTAGGTACGTTTGAAATTTTCAATAATAAAAGTATTTGAAAATAATGTATCTAGTGGCCGTATTAGTATGACAACACCTGCTTTGAAAATTCACCTTGTATTTACCTGTGTGGGGTTGCTATGCAGAAAGTTGACTGTAAAAATCAGACGTTATGAAAGTGCTTCGGTTTCCCCATCTATAAAATGAGATGGTAACAGAATCTCATAGCATCAAGGACTTAACATGTTAATATACAGGATTTCATGTGTGAGGATTTAATATGTTAATATATGAGAATGTTTAGAACAGTGCCTGGCACCTATAAGCGTTAGATGTTATTAGGGTTAGTATTAGTTTGTATTATGCTTCTCCTGACCTTAATCCACCTTGTACACAGCTGCCAGGATAATATTTCATCGTGGACCTCTTATATTTGCCCAGTGCCTTTCAGGTCAAATTGAACACTTTAGCTTTACATAGCCTCATGATAATTGTGCCCAATTGCCTCCCAGCTCAACTATGCGCACAGTTTGTACTGTCAACTTGTGTTCGTGAATTCTCCTGTTTTGTGTATGTTTGGTCAATCTTTCAAGTGAATTGTAGTGTCCTTTCCTTGATATCTTCATTCTTGAAGAAACTGGTTTTGTTCCTAATACAGAGTAGTCATTTAACAATGTGTCTATGACTTCCAACCCCATTTAAAAAGAACTACATTAGAACTTCCTCAATTAGTGAAAATATAGTCGATTTATAGTGATTGCCAGAGTTAATACAAAAGCTACCACCTCACAAACTCATTACAATGCTTAATTATTTGTTTCCTTCTGATAGCTACTTCAAAGAAATTGAAAATAACAAGTCACCTTCTGCTAGGTGACAACTCTCCACATTCTTTAAATTTAGCATTTGGTAGAGTGCTAAAGCATTGATCTCTCTAAGCTGCAGTTCTTGTTTCCTCAAAAGTCTGATTTATTTTTCTGGCCTTTAATTGTCCTGCTATTTCTTTGGCAGTTTTTTTAGGGGTTTTGTGCCCCTTTTTTTGGACCTGATGGATACTTCCTTAAAGATGGAATCAATTTTCACAGTGATGGGAGAGTTGCCTCAGAGAGGGGCAATTGTTTTGTAGGAATTCCAGTTTTACTCTATTTAATGGCGTAATTTATTGGAGAAGTCATTTTTGAGGAGGTAATTTAATTTTATGGGACACAAAATTTTTTTCCCAGTAAGGAGTGGTGTTGAAAGCCCATTAGCCTGAAGGTTACTTTTAATTTGCACAAGTTGAAGCTGATTTTAGCCTCTCACTTCTTTTGTAGGGAGGTGCCAACAAGGAAGACAAATCTCAGTAGGTGATGTGCTTTCTTACATGGAAAGGTCAGTTAAGTCTTCCTTCTCAGGTCTCTTTTGAAGATAAAGGCTTCTAACCAAAGGCTGTAAAATTCCATTTTTTATCTTATTGTTGTAGGATGGAAGAGAAAAGGAAACATATGGGTCTTGTAGTTTACAATTATTGTTTGAAAAGACCTTTGACTTTTACCACATCACAGTGAAATATGGGATAGCTCAGTACTGCTATTTTGATCCATTGGATTGGCCCTGTTCTCATGAAAATATTCCCATCCCTATACCTGTAAACCTGTGCTTTTTACAAATAGAATCAGATTTTCTAGAAGAGAGGCATTTTCACAATTTTGCCAATTCAAGTATTGGATGTTTAAAATAAACCATACTTTTACATACCTGAGAAACATTTAGGAAAGGACTAGACAATACTATGATGGATGTTGATGGTCTAGTGTGGCAATATATGGCAATAAGCTCCGACAGCGAGATGTCAGTTGGCTTCTTAAGTAGGGAAACATTTCGTGGTGCCTGTGTTACTGGCTTCTTTTAAGTATGAATGAAGTTCTTTAACAACAAATGAAATAATGTCACTAATGTGATTAATGACATACTACTAGTTCAAACAACGTGATTCCTGAGGTCTTCAATCTTTTAACACTCGTGATGATCTTAAGTGGATCAAGCTGGAAAAATTCCAATTTGGCCTTTAAGTGGTTCTGAGACACCACAACGTTCTGTAGATGGAATTCAGATAACATGTTATATGTTAGCCTTGAAATACGTAAAAATTGTTAGATGTAGAAAGAAAAAATATAAAAAGCATTTAATTTGTGAGTAATTGCCTTCATTCTCTGTTACATATTTAATTTTAGCCAAGAAAGTATTCCAAGAGCTAATCAATTTTGAAATCTATTCAGTTTTCTTAGCCTTTACCTAATCTTCAAATCTGGCCTTCTTATTTCAATCAAGTGCCTTAATCTGTTCAAGTCATATGTGAGAACATTTTAAAGCCTAATAAAACATGTTTAGGAGATGGCATAGTAAACCTGTTGTACTAGTTTTAAGTAGTTCTAAGACTGACTAACTATGGGGGCTGATAATGATTTTCAGTAAACAGTTGATACAATTTTGACATTGTTCATTATCTGCAACTTGTCTTCAAAACTCTATACTCTCCATTGTGGGTTTATCTGTTATTCTCTCTTTCTCCAGTTACTCCCTTTACAGTAGATCCTTATGCTCTTCAAATGAAAACTCCAAGTCTCTTTCCCTAATCAGAAAATACTCTTTTCCTAATCCAGAGACCGCTTTAAGATAGTTTTGTAACTTGTTCTTTTTCTTCCTGATCAATTTATTGAAAAAGTGGGATCTTACTCCTCACCTCTCTTTAAACCACTCCACGCCCTTACTTCCTTTGCTGTCCTCAAGCTGTACCCCCTCAAGAGCTGCCACTAGGCTCTATCTTCCTTGGTATGTGGACATTCTCTGTTTGCCCTTCATATCCATTCTTTTCCTTCTCCACTCAGCCTTGTGACCTGGAAGGTTGACCATTATGGACTCCAACAGCTGGATTTACTACATTCCTTGCCCTCTGACCTGTGGTTCATTTTGGCCAATGGAAACACCAGCAGGGGGTTGGAGGGAGGAAGAGTGACGTGAGGGTCATTTATTCTCCCTTCATTCCTCCCTGCAGGATAGTAGGCCGGAAGTACTAGGTTCCTACACCAAAGGCTTTCAAGGCCACAGCCCATCCCTTAGCTTCTCCAGAGCTATAGCTGTCTCTGGGTTTTGGTAACCTTCTCCCCTTTCCCCTTCAGACCTCGAAGCAATAATGTCTCCCTCTTGTTCCTAGCCCCAGGATGGTTCCCCATCCCTTGCTAGTTTCCCTTATGTCTGCCCATATGTTTATAAATAGCTCCTTTACTAAATTTTCCTCAGTTTCCCCCTTTTGCCATCTGTTTCCTGCTGGTATCTGGACTGATATCAGCAAAAATTAACTCCAGAACATTTAACACAAAAGACTAAGCCTGGCTTGCTCAACACCATTGTTGTCCACCATTTAGTTGTTTTGCAATGAGCAGTATCATCTACAAGACATCTTAAACAATTATTTAGGTAGGACTGCATCCCACCCTCGCCCGTTCTCTACCCGGAGCAGCTGCACCCAAGTTCCACTACCCTCAAGATGGATGGCAAGCAGGGGAGTGTTGTAACTACCCATGGGACCTGTGCCATCCATGTCCTAAGCAGTTGTCTGTCTCAGACAGCCCGTATAAACTACCGGCTCCCCAAATTCTAACCTCTGGACGCCAAGCAGACTATATAGTTCCCCTGTTGACAAAACTTCTTTAAAATTTGTCCTATTAAAACACAAAATAACAGATCACCTGGGCCTTGGTCCAGGTCCTGCTTTCTCCATGAATGGTGGGAAGTGTGGGGGAGGAGCAGTGCCTTCTTCTCTTCATGCTGATCCTGGCCCTGAATGTTTGACCTTTCCCAATAAAACCTCCCATGCCATGTGGTATGGAATTCATCTGGAAACCAGGAGGGCCACAACAGGCAGGGGAGTGGTTTGTGAGAATGCATGTGGTTCACAGCTTCACTCCTCCCAGCACATTTAGATTTATAATCTGTATTTGTACACAAGCCCTACTAATTATTTTCATTTACAAATTGTTCTTTATTGCAGCATTTATGCTAATAGTTTCATCATTCCTTTTATGCTTCAGTGAACTACTTTTGAATCATCGATCCGTATTTGCGGACTGGTAATTTAATGCCAAAACACAAGTTAAACCCAGGCAATGGCATACATATTAAGTGAAATGCTTCAGCTGACAAAAACTGCACCCTGTTTCCAGAATGTTAGCCAAGGCAGCCTGACCCAAATTCCTAAAGTGCAAGCAGAATCTTTAAACACATGATTTGAGTTAGCCATAAAGAATTTTTGTAAAAATCAAAATTCATCCCATATTTTACATTTGTGAAATATGTATGATCAGAATAGTTGTATTGATGTTTTTCCCTTCTAAAACTGCCTAAAAGTGACTGGGTGCCACTACATTAATGTATTTAAATGTATTTTTGAGAAAGCCTCTCC